CTGTCTGTAGTCATTTGACCATGCGTTCTCCCTGGCACTTCCTGCTTGTACTCATATCTGGGTTTAATCACATTTTTGGCTAGCTCTCTCCATGCTGACCAACCTCCTCCAAGTGAACACTATCTTATGGGGGCTGCATGGCTTTGATTACATGCTCCAAGTTATGGTCCCAATCCACAGCCAAAAACAGCTAAGCCAGAGTGTTCAAAAGACCTGGATCTGCGCCAAGCAAAAGAAAAAGGTCTATTCCGTTACCGGCAGAATATTTTGAAGACTAACAATCGTAGTGTAAGTATACTAAAATGGCGAGCGGAGTTGAAAATTGTCTGAAAATGTGTGGTGTTTTAAGATGAGAGAATGCATTTGATCCTCTGCAGACGCCATGAGTTTAATCGGGTAATTCTTTAAGGTTTTGGGCCATGGCGGACTTCAAGATGTTATGGACCGAGAAAGAAGAAGTCTAGACATATTTTACGGCAATTTTAATGTTAGTGGTTAAAAGTGTCAGATTTATAGTGGCAATTTTGACGGACACTTATTAAATGGTTCTCATTAACTATGGCATTCTCAAGTCACAATTTAATATATTGAGTATATTACATATTAGTATATTACAAACAATTAGGAGAGTGCATTTAAACTGCTTTTGAAAAAAAAAAATGTAAGAATGGCAAGGGAATAATATAACTGACAAATTCTAATCACTGTGGGAAAGCTAACCAGGGATACTGCTTTGTCTCAATATCTGTTAATCTGAGCTGTTGTTTTAACACAATAGTACTCCACCGTGTAATTCACTCAAATCATTTGGAAAACACCTTCACTAGAATCATTTGGAAAATTTCAGCCCTGAAATTTTGATGAGGTAACACCACCGAGCTTTGTTTTAGTTAGTATTAACCAGCGCTTTTCATTTAACTACACTTACTTTTTTTTTGTTTTGTTCAAACACCTAAATGAGACCATGAACACAGGAGCATGAAAATGTGTTGTTTCAATCTATGTAGTATTTTTGTTAAACATTCCTCTATAGACATACATGCAGTTCTGCCCCCTACCCCTTCATGATGTCACTGCGAAGTATCAATAACTCATTACAACTAAGTGGGTACTCTAATTGCAACTCCAAATTTCCAAATCCGCAATAACAATATTATTCTGGCTAATCTCCATTGTATTGTTTTCCACTATTATTGCGTTCTACTATTTCTGTAATGAGAAAGCACTCGGCTGCCAAATTTGGAAAGTGAAATTGTACATGGAGTGATTTTGTTTAGAAATGTATAAATATACCGCAAGAATGTGCTTAATGTTGTGGTTTTATACACTTGTGAGAGAAGATGGAGAGGCTAAGGTGGTTGATGGTTCTGCTGCTACAATGGTAATGAAGGGAAGTGAGAGACAATATACCATATTTTTCGGACTAGAAGTCGTTCCGGAGTGTAAGTCGCACCAGCCAAAAAATGCGTAATGAAGAAGAAAAAAAAACATATACAAGTTGTGCCGGACTGTAATAATAATAAAGAATGAGAATAAAGAAAAACAGGCTCAATAGGCGTCTGGAATGTTAACGTAACATATTAACAATTATTCAGGTAACTATAGCATAAACAACAGAACGTAAGTTTTACCAAACTCTCCATCTCACTCCAAATCACTAAATCCATTGAATCCATTGAATTCTTCATCCTCGGTGTCACTTCTGAGCAACTCTGTGCAACTTCTGTTGTCACTGAAGTCCAGGCATGGTGCACCCTCCTGGTTGTTGTGAAGCTGTGTTCTCCATTCCTGCTTTTCACCAGTAACTCACAAGTTTCTCACTCACTCCAAACTTTCTTTCTGTTGCTCAATTACTGTTTTCAGCTGCATATTTCACTACTTGCAGCAGGACAGCGGCTTTTTCTGCAGGAGATATGCGCAGAAAACTGACACACAAGCCTAGAGCGCCCTCTCGTGGCTGTCAGTCTTAATATTTTAATATATAAGTCGCACCGGAGTATAAGTTGCAGGAAACACCCAAACTATGAAACAAAGTGCCACTTATAGTCTGAACAATTCTGTAATTTATGGGTACTTATACTTATGGAAATTATTGCTCAAGGATGCACTGTAAGAAATCTGCTACACGCCTGTTGATACAGGTCTGATCTGTGAAGAGGCAAGCCCGCTCACATTAGAATGCATGTTTTCAATGAAAGATTGAAGGTTACACTATACTGTGGAGAAGTGAAGTAAAGTTATATTAATCATATTCTCAGCTGTCAGTTTTGAAAATGTAGCTTGCTATTATCTTTTATCATCGCAAAACACTCAATGAAAACATGGAACGTCAATTATCTGAACAATGCCTTTCAGCAGAACGGTAGCACAGAGTTATCTCTGCTTTTCTTGTTTGGAAAATGAACTTGTACTGTCTTTTAAGTTTTAATCTAAGCTATGTTTGAGAGATCACAACATTTTCGAATCCCTATAGTTTAAAGGTCCTATATTATGCAAAATTGACTCCTGTGAGCTTTTAGTCATGTTGTAATCTTGTTACCTCATCAAAAACATACATGGAATTGTGTTTTGTTTCATTCGTGCATGTCTGAATAATCTTGGTTTATTAGTCTGTCTACATCTCCAAAGCTCAAAATGCTCTGTTCCACTTTGCGATGTCACGAGACTGTAGTTTTCAAGTTAAAGAGTTACCTTTTAACTTTAATGATAGCCAGAGAGACTTGTTTAACAGCACAAATCAGCTCACCTTTTGTAGCTCCAATTAAGTTATTTCTGATCAAAACAAAGCTCAGATTAAAGGTCTAATAAGCCTCAGACAGAGCATGCCTACGGTTAGCATCACCCCCTCAGCCCCCAGAGAAAAATGATGGCATCTATCAATACAATTTCTTTCCGCCTACATCACTTTAGTTTTCTCCAGAGGCAGCGCCAGACGAAAGTGTTCAGACGTCTTAAAAAAATACAACATTTTGAGAAAAAATGATCACCAAAGACACTCTCCACTCCTCCATCTTATTACCAGGGCTGTCAGGCGGTTAATATTCGGCTATTCTTCTCCCAGAAAATGAAAAAAATGAATGCTAAAAAATACACGGCCTCCCTGCTAGACATGCATTTCAAATATTCCTGGGGCGATATGCTTTTATAATAATGTATGAGGGCCAATCTCAGCCATGTTACAAAACAGAACAGTAAATCTTTTTAATGCTGTATGCAGTGTTGGTAATAACTCAAGAGGAAGTGTGTTCCCTCACTTGTCCCTCGTAAAGGTGTCGTGGAGGTTAGCAGTTAGCACATTATGTCGTAGCCATTTTCCTGTCAAAGCATTTTCCCAGAATGCATTTGAACTATGGCTTCAGCGGTTTGTATCTGTCTGTGGCAGATAAACTACACTATACAGGCTACTCGAGGATCTTTACGGTATGTTATTACAGAAGTGAATTAGATGTGTTTAACAAGGGATAAATCAGACTTTCATATTATATATGTGTGTTTATGAGTGTGGAAGAAGCATTAGACTATATGGACAAATATTATTCTTTAAATGCTTGCTACAGTCACCTTGAAATGAAGCATGCATAGAATATAGACAATTATGGTATACTTAAAAGCTCTATATTACATAAAATGGATACTTCTGATGTTATAATGTTGTTACCTCTTCAAAAATATGCCTAAAGTTGTTTTTTTGTTTCATTCACACATGTTTGAGTAATCCTGTATTATTAGACTGTGTACATCTTAAAAGCTCAACATGTTCTTTTCCACTTTGTGATGTCATGTAGTGGTAATTTTCAAGTTAACATCTACCTTTTAGCTTTTGATCAGTAGACATTGGCAATTCCAGGCCTGAAATCACGCAAATGATTCTAGTGAAGGTGTAAAGAGTTTAAAAACACAGTGGAGCACTTCCTGAATTACCATGTGACATCGTAAGTGTTTTTTTGTTTGAGAGAAGAATTAAATACGCAGGGTGTGTGTTGCGCATGTGTGCATGAAACAAAACACAACTCCATATGTTTTTGATGAGAAAACAAGATTATAACATACACAAACAGGTGATGTCAACAGGCCCAGTTACAGCTCACATCTGTGGAGAGGCAAGCCCGCTCAGAATAAGCAAGCGTGTTTGTTAAAGTATTTCCTGGCATTAAAAATACCTCTACCGTGGAACATCTTATTAAAGCACATCTACACAGAACAAGCACGTGCCAGAAAAGTTCCACAGCATGCCTTTAAACCATTTGTACCACAGACTTGTTGTGCATTCGGCTGCTCGTTCCACCTTCCTGATGTCATGTCGTGGTGGTTTTCATGTTAACATCTACCTTTAACCTTTATGTTCAGTAGAGATGGGCAATTCCAGGTCGGATTCCAGGTCGGAAACCATCCAAATGATTCTAGTGAAGGTGTATGCAGTTTAAAAACACAGTGGAGCACTTTCTGTATTACAAAATCAAGGTGGAACAGTGTGTTTGTGTGTGAAAGAAAACACAACTCCAGGTATGATTTTCATGAGGAAACAACATTCTAGCTCAGATCAGAAAATAGCACAGTACTGGCCCTAATATATCAATAGTTTACACTAAAAATAAAATAAAATCAATTAATCAAGAATGGAAAATTACACATACTTCTGTTTCAATTAAGGTTTTATCCATGAAGTTATTTTACAGACTCCGATATGTTTTAGATTAAAAATATATTGTTAGCCTTGGTTATGTAGTGTTTAATCTATCTATTTATGTCACCTACAAAAGATACTTACACTTATACACAATATAGTGAGTTTTCAAAAGATCAATATAGACTTCTTTGAATTGCAATCAAAAGCTCTATATAAAACCAATGTATTATTAATATCAAGTCAGGAGATTTTGACATCTGTGTTAGTGTCGCTTTGACTTTTACACAATTATTTTTTTTCCCAGTGATTTTCTCACTATACTGTGGAGAATTCAAGCATCCAAAATGACTAAGATAACACATGTTGGACTCACCCACGGCCTCGGATAGCCCGTACACCCTCTGTCCATATGCGTCCGTCTTGTCCCAGATGAAAGTGTAGGAGAGGTTTGGCTGAGCAGGGAACCACTTCTGGAACAGCCTCCCCACCACAGCGACCATCAGATGAACCTAAGAACACATACATGAGGGTTCAGATCTGTGTCTAGTAATGTTTTCACAGTACGAAAATGTTCTAAGGGAAAGGCTGATTACTCAGTACAAATTTCAATAGATGTAGATAAATAATATATTTTTTTTTAATTTATTAATATGTAGTCTTCTACTAATGCTGATATAGATAAATACATTCTAACACTCTATGTCCATATCAAGTCCAATACTAGCTTAACTAAAAATTTGTATTTTTTTTTTTTTGCAATTCTGTATATAATGTGTATGTTATTTACATTATATATGATTTTGCCAAAAATGAATGAACATTGAACCCACAGACAGTATAAACAAGTGGACTAAGTCAGTGTGACGTCATCCATAGCGTTTGACTCCAGTCAAATGAAGCTCAGTGAGGTCAACAGTTATAAGAGCAAATCCGAAGCAGAGTTCCATATTTGGACCAGTGGTTTAGCCCCAAGAGAGGAGCCATGTTTTTTCAATAGGAGCCAGAGTGCTCTTTTCCTATTTAGATTGCGGCAGCTTGCAAGTTAGCTATGTCCAATATATATATATATATATATATATATATATATAGTACATGGTTGAACCTGATCCAATGATAAATTCTGAATATGGAGTGTATTATTTTGTATACATTTAATATATAGAGAGAAAGAAAAAAGAGAGAGACTCTAGATAAAGAGAGAAAAGAGAGAGAGAAGCAAGTCGGACCTTCATAAGGTTGAATGGTATGGAGGTCTGTGTCATGGTGACCTTCAGGACCGGCTTGTATCCTGCTGCTCTGGAGCTCAGGTAAACCAGGTTCAAGTCACTGCCCGGGATCGACGTCTCCTCTTGTAGCACCTGCCAAAGAGGAAAATGAACTGATTAGATTTCAGATCCTTTATTATACAAAATTTTCTCTTCAGAGATTGAATCAGAAACATACCTGGAGCTGTGTTTTCTTTCATTCACACATTTGAGTTTGAGTAACTCTTTCTCTACATCTCCATAGCTCAAAATGCTCTGTTCTACTTTGTGATGTCACAAAGCAGTAGTTCTCAAATTAACAGCTACCTTTTACCTCAAGGGAGTTTGGCAATTCCTGATCTTATCCAAATGATATGTCAGTAATGTAGGAAGTGCTCCAGTGTAGTTTGAAAATACACTAGAGCACTTCCCATATTACCACATGACTTCACAAGGTGGAACAGAGTCTTTTTAGTTTGAGTGAAGAACTCAGCCAAAATATGCAGAATCAGGATGTGTGAATGAAACAAAACTTTTTTTCTCAGCAAGTTTCTTGAGACATAGGTGCTGCATCCCTCTGAAAGACTTTTTAGAATTTTTGACTTTTCAGAACCAGTTAAATCTCTTTTTTGGCCCATTTTGCCTGAGGAAAAAAAGCTGCCAGAAAGGAATCTGCTTGCCTAACAGGAGGGTTGCTGGTTTAAACTTCACAAAAAAACAGAGTGTGATTAGTTTGTTGTGCATGCTTTATGTGGGGGAAAAAAATCAAATGTGCGCAACAGCTAAGCACTTGATCTAGCACGTTGCTGTATTGTTAAGAAACAGTTCTAAGAGTGCTAATGAATGATGTAGGATTTGATTTCTAATTGCTATGCAACATGAACAACATAACCAACAGAGGTGTGTGTGTGTGTTTGTAACATTAAAACAACAAAAAGTGATAAATAAAAACGTGTTAAAAAAGTAAGAATCCTGTAAATTAACAATAGGGGATTTCAATTATCAAGTATATTTTAATCAGCAATGCAGTGAAATAAAGTGTTCTCAAATTGATGTGAAGTTTCAAATAATTCAGTAATTTCAGTTAATTAGTTAATGGAAGATAAGATGCTATTCTACTACTATTCTGGTACTACACTAGGCTCAGAGGGATAAAACTCAATTGTACAACACCCCAAAGCTTAAGTCACCAGGGACCATTCTCCACATCTTGAGATTAGGAAACAAAATACATGTACAGAAAAAAGTATTCAAAATACTCATTTTGAGTAACTGTATTCTGGAACAGGTACTCTAATTCTACCCTAAATTCAAATGAATACATGGAAGTACTTTAAGTACTTAGTACTTAGATTAGCTGTCATAATATTGATATTTTAGACAAAATGATCACTCTTGTAGGGTGTGTATGTGCATTTTTCCCTTCTTTAAATAGAGATCTATAAATGCATAACAAAATTATTATTATTTTAATGTTTTTTACATTATAATATAATGCTGTAGTAGAAGTACTGTGACTATTCAGGATAAAGAGCTCTGATTGGTCCATGCAAGAAAATATGCTATAAAACACATTTTAATTGAAATCTTCAGTATTCCATTTGAAAATAATTCTGACAAGCTTTGCGATTGTGATTACACTTGCAATTTCTGTTCAAAATTCACAGTTTAATCGAGTAGAACTGGAAAAAAAAGGAAATATGAAGTGATAAACTAATACAGGAATTGCAGGTCATTTCTAAACTAAAGGGTTAGCAGTTTTTATGCAGAAAAAGATGTTAGGGTACTTACAAAATTTCAACCTTTGCAATTTGCTAATTGTGTCCATTCAAACTGCGATTTCAATGTGATTTTGATGAATCTTTAGAGCCCTATCACTGAGGTGTGTTTTCAAGGTTTTTTCTAATTTGTCCTTTATGATGCATTTCCAGAACAAGAAAACCATTGAACACATCCAGCACCCAGGAGGTTCTTCCAAGTCCAGTCTCACAAACAAAGCCCAGCCTCAAACCTGTCAGTGCACAATATATTGCTGTTTACCTGAATGTTTACACTGATTGATGCTCAGCGCTTTAGAACACAATAGAACTGTGCCCTCTTTCACCTGGCCTTCACTGAATCCATCTGTGAACCATTTTAAAGTCAAGAATTTGGTGTTAACCTCAATTACAGCTCAGAGAAAAGCTGACGAAACCATCGCCAGTTCTCTGCAATAACATTGGTCATGGACATCTGCTGCTTTGGTGAGTCACTATTATTCTAGCCTCAAACAAGATCAGTTCCAAATTGTGCCAATGATACGAACTGTAGGTTTTGGCGAGTTTCAAATCCAGAAAGAATCAAATCTAATAGCTTTGACAGCTCATTGCCTTTTTTTGTCCGCACAGGAAATCACTTCATTTAGTTTTTAAAAGCAACATTTTATTTGGAACATATTTTTCCTCTTATTGGAACACTCGCGAGCAGTTTCAGGGTGTCCGTTACAGATTTTCTCATTTGCTTTGTTGAAACTTAAAATGGGATTGTCACAACATGTTTGATAGCTTTTCGTGTTTTGCGAAAAGAGCGTCACTTAGCCCAAACATTTCAGATTCACATGACAGTTTTGGGAACATGATCACAGGCGTCCAAGAGAAAAGAGGTTTTGTCAGAATGCTACAAAGATAGTTTATGATCATGAAGGCCAATTTTGAAATGTAAAAAGATTTCATAACGGAGATATGGAGAATTGTACAATGCTAACTTGGAATTCTTTTACTGTTTAAGCTCATGATTCTTCTCTTACAAATGATGAACAACACTGTGTATGCATAAAGGCGTCTCCAGAGGTGGGTAAAGTAGTCAAAATACTGTATACGCAAGTGTACTGAAAAGTAGTGACCTTAATTATTACTAAAAGGTGCAGTGTGTAATTTTTCTAGGGGAGGGTCTGTCACATGCTTTTCTCCATGGAGATGTTGTTGCTTTGTTTGGAATGTTTCACAGTTCTATCTTCATGGAGACTAAACCAGACCAAGTTACAATTCAGATCTATGGAGAGGCAAACCCGTTCACAGTCAGAGTGCTGTTTTTTCTGTGTATTTTTTTTTTAGCTATAAAACCTCTGTAACTGAATAAATTTGAATAAAGTAGAGCTGTTTAACATACTGCAGTGAAAAGTTACACAATGCACCTTTAAAGGTCCTATATTACGCAAAATTAGGGATGGGCATTCGATTACATTTTCTGAGAATTAACGATCGATTATCGATTAATCATTAATGTTTTTTATATTAAAATTTATCATCATTATAATTACTATCTTCACTACTAATCTGCATAAATAAATTCAACTTTACAACATATAAACCGTAACCACTCTAAAGCCACATCAGCTTGTTTGAGATTATAATGTGTTTAATGCAGCTTTGTGCAACTGTCACAGAAACGAAACTTAAAACCGCATGACAAATTTGCATAAATTAAGCGAAGAAAAAAAACAGCTCTTGTGCGCTGATGGAATACAGGTTAGTGTGACCATATTTGCGTTTGTCAAAACCAGGACACTGGTGGGAGGTGGGAGGTCGGGACTCGTCATTGACATTGCGCTTCTCTCACCTGGCAAAGCTTTTTCCTACTGGACACCGAAACATATGTGCTGCTTTGTACACTGTGCACATGGCCTACCACTTGTCGCGTACGCAACGGGAAGCGTGGATGCACGTTGCAGGTTGACCGACTGTTTGTGTCTGCTCGCTCTTTCTGAGTGCAGAGAGCTACATGTACAGACCCCTGTTTGGTCACGCAACGCACAGCAACCTACATTCGGTTTGTCGATTAAAATGAACGTAATCGATGAAATTCTTAATGATCAATTATCGATTAATTGACTAATCATGCCCATCTCTCTGCAAAATGGATTCTTGTGAGCTTTACGCAATGTTTAAGCAATGTTATGATATTGCTACCTCATCAAAAACATACCTGGAGCTGTGTTTTGTTTACAGGTTAACGTCTACTTTTTAGCTTTTGTTCAGAAGAGATTGGCAATTCCAGGTCTGAAATAATCCAAATGATTCTAGTGAAGGTGTAAAGAGTTTAAAAACACAGTGGAGCACTTCCTGAATTACTACATGACATCATAAGTGTTGTCTGTCTGAGAGAAGAACTCAGCCTAAATATGCAGGAAGTGTGCAAGCTTGTTTGTTGAAGTATTCCCTGGCATTAAAAACACCTCTAATTGAATAAATCCAAAACGGTGGAACATCTCTCCTCCACGGAACAAGCACGTACCAGAAAAGTTCCACAGCGCGCCTTTAAACTGTTTGCATAGTACCACAGACTTGTCGTGCGTTCGGCTGCTGTAAGATCTCTCTGTAACCTACATTTAGAGTGAACATCAAGCTCTCCTCTTTTCCTTTGGTGTAAAATACATCCGTGCAGTGCTTTTAAAACGGGGGCGCGCTCTCCCACTCCAAAGCCCGTGCCCCTGCACCTCTGCGGGGGGAGTCTTTGAAGGAGTCCAGCGGACAGCATTTTCACACACTACTTATGGGTGAAGGGCAGGCTCAAGGACTCACTCAGATCTGGTCTTGGATTTTAGTGGGGGCTATAACTACAAAATATGACGATACAACTTCAAGAACAATCAGCAAACCAATAAACTATAGCCAGTGTGGGGACTACTACTGGTACTGATACTTCTACTACTACTACTATTACTAGAGAGTACTTATGGATGAAGGTCAGGCTCAAGGACTTACTGAGATCTCATCTTAGATTTTAGCGGGGGCTACAACTACAAAATATGATGATACTACTTTAAGAACAATCAATAAACCAATACACAACAGCTACTACTATTGCTACTTCTACCACTACTATGAGAGATTACTTATGTGGGAAGGGCAGGCTCAAGGATGGACTCAGGTCTGGTCTTGGATTTTAGTGGGAGCTACAACTACAAAATATGATGATACTATTTTAAGAACAATCAGTAAGCAAATAAACTATAGTGTGGGGACTACTAATGGTACTGCCACTTCTACTACAACCAATGTTACTGCTACTACAACTACTTCTACAGAGTACTTGACGGTGAAGGGCAGGCTCAAGGACTCACTTAGATCTGGTCT